TTTCTTAACTATCATAACGCACCACATTTATCTCTCAATTTTTATAAATTGATTGATATAGTATTCTTTAATAAAAATTTAAAAATTGATAACAAGATTAAAAAAATCTTTAATAATTTTTGTATTATTGGTTTGAACAAGAAATTTTAAATTACTCAAAATTATGGATGATTTACAATACTCTTAAAAATAACTTGCAATACTTCGCAACTACGAGAATACCTTTTTGCACACCAGCTTAAAAAAATACAAATAAGTATATATATAATTTTTAGCATATTATATCATTTTATTTTTCAAGCCATCTATTTTGAAAAAAATTAGAAAATTCAAAAACATGTAAATGATTTATAAAACTTCTTAAATTAACTCAAAACACTTTACCATAAAGAAAATACTATCTTTGTAACCTGCAAAAATTTCAAGTAAGCTTTTCAAATATTAACTCTTGGTATTTAAAAAAAAAATACACTATATTTTGTCCAATCAAAATAAACCTTCATAGCTTTGTTTTTATTTTTCATTTGTTTATTAATATACTCACTATTTTGATAATAAAAAAGTAAGACAATAAAAGGGCAAATTGGAAATGAGATTATATCTACCCTCTCAAAATGAAATTTTTAAAATGGGTAGTAAATAATAAAAAAAAAAGTTTAAAATAAGGGAGACAAATGAGATTTTTCAAAATTTGAGGGTGCCAAGTTAAAACTATTAGAAACCTCAGCGGAGATTTCTGAAATTACTACTTAAGATAAAAACATTTTATGTTATAGCCTTTTTTTGTTTCCAAGAAAACGAACTGTTATCTCACATATGGGCAAGACTTAATTTTGTCAGCAATGGAGCGTGTCGTTTGGCAAATAGTCAAGGTTCTCGAATGCTACTAGTTCCAAGGTTTTCGAATAAATTAAGGAGCCAGTTTTAAGACATTCAGCAATAAAAAGAAATGAAAAAATGAAGTGCCATAACTCAAATTGATCCAGTCTGCACTCTGCAGTTTGCAGTCTGATGTTATACATGAGAAGACAACACCTAGAATTCGTAATAATTGGTCAGGCACATCTCTAAATTCGTCTAAGCATCCCGGCCTGCAGGTTCAAACATCTCTTTCCAATTAGCCATCGCATATCTTCTGATCTGATACAGAGAGTACTTTTAAGCATGTAATTTTGCAACTTTTCCTGTTTTCCATAGATTTGAGTAAACATCAAAACCGAACCCAAATGATACGACCGTGGATGAGTTCATTCCTAATCAATTGCCTGATAAGAAAAGATTAATATTAATACAGCCACCTGAAAACTACATTCTGCCCTACATTTGCATGCATGCCTTCATCGATCCCTTAATAGAATTTATCTATATGTATATATATATATATAGATGTTATATGAATTGAAAAGCAACTAACTGGGTAGATGCCTTGACAACATACAAATCTGGAAGGTACAGATATCTTCAGAATGTTGATGAACGCAAAAGCAAAAGTATACAGCAACAAAGAATCAAAGCTTGAAGCTTCCTGTCATCTACTGCTTACACTACACTTAGAAATTTACGGGTGGGATGTAAAAGAAAGAAAACTGAAAAAGACAAGAACCTGAAATCACATGTCACAGTCACAGACTGAAATTTAAGGAGGGGAGAAAGCCAGTAAGGTAGGGTTTGTTTTCTGTCTTTAGCTGATGATGGGACTATTCCTCTAGATTGCTAAACATGGAAACTAGCTATTTTTGCTTTTGATTTCCACAACTTTCTTTGCTGGTATAAACGGCTTTCCCTAGGTTCTTTTCTTCTTCTTCTTCTTTTTTTTAGACCAGTCATTAGTTTGTTACTTGTTAATTTTCACCTTCCAAATATTAGCATTTTACAATTGAGTTTTTATATTTATTGGAGGGTGGCTAGCTAGGTGAAGGTCGATATATTCATAGCCATGGCCACGAGATTCCCATTTTGTACCTCGAAGTTTGCTATACCAACAAGCAATAAACCGCGTACACATTCACAGGCGAGAAGTGACTTTGATTATATACGGATTTGGACATAATCATTTGATCTAAGCTATCCCCTCTTTCATATCCATATGTAGAAACTTTGATTGGACGCGTCTCCCCTGCCCCCATCTCTCAGATACTTTGAAGTTGTGTAGATGCAACGTCTGGTAATGAATTGATTGTTGAGCGTTTCATTTGTTCCTTTCTTCCTATCGCATTCGTACGTGGTTCTAATATATCCATAAACTAGTTATTCACACGTGCATTTGCACGGGTACCTTTTTATAATCTCGAATTTTTATTTTTTTTGAACGAAAATTGCTATAAAAGGACTAAAAATGCTATTTTATAAAATTTAACATGCTAATTATAAGACAAACATTGAAATTAAATAGACTAAAAATAATGAATTTATAACAACTTAATAATTAGATTTTTCTTTCTTGCTATTAGGTTTCGGGGTCAAAACTTATGTCTCACAGTTATGGGGATATTTTTAAAAAAAACTTAATAATTAGTATCAATTGAATCTTATCCCGTAATATAGTTGTGTTTATTCTACTTAATGCTGGCAAGACAATTCGTGAGCAAAGAAGATATGTTGGGAAATAAGTGTAACTAAATATTTTATTCTTTCACTACTAAAATGAACTTTAGAAAGCAAACTAATAGATGATGAGCTGATTATTTTCTCAAATTATTAAAAACTAATAAAAGACAAAGAATTTCAAATAACTTTTACAACCTTGCATTTACATGATACTACTTTGGCTTAAATCAAATTTGAATGGAAAGAGCATAAAGATTAATAGAAAATTTTAGGAAAGAATAACTATTTATACAATTTAAATGGATTTGGTATATATATGAATCTTTGAAGGTGAAGGTCATTCTTTTTCCAAATCTTAGTAATAGCACTAGATAATCAAACCAATAATAGGAATAGAGAATGTGATCGAAAATTATTAGAAAAGGAAAGGCATGAGTTGATTGACAAAAAAAAGTACAATTAATACAAATTTATATAAGGTAGGTCCTGTATAGATTTGTTAAAATTAACTATAAATAAAAAACCATAAAAAGGGCTGTAAATTGTTACAAAAAAAAGAACAAAATTTAAAAAAATACAAAATTTCTTACAATATAAATTTGCCACATGGCGAGAAGATAGATCGTCTATTAAGTAGAAGATTAGAATAGCCAATTAAGTGATCTACCAAAATCGGAATTGATCATCGTTTTATATTGTGTGTGTGTGTGTGTGATGTTATGCCTTATTTGAATTGCTATTTTTCTACAAAAATATTTTTAGATTTTTTAGAAATATTCTCTCAACTTAATTCTGAACAACTTTTTCAACTCAAGTATATTCAAGAAAATAATACACTGTTATTTTTCTATAAAAATTTCACAAAAATCTCCAATATACGATCCAATACGGGCTCTTTAGTTGCAGTGTGTTTAATCTATTGTTGTAGCGGGAGGTAACAATTGAAAATAGAAATCAAATGAAAGCTCGATGTTGTTTGCTTGATATGGTTAACAAAGAATGAATGATTTGCGAAGTTGTGTGTAAAATTATCCGGGCTAGTTCTTTGAACAAAACAATGAAAAGAGGAATTAGTCTAGTGTAACTAGGGATGGCAACGGGGCGGGGGACCCCTCCCCCAATCCCCCGCCCCGCTACCTACAAACTCCCCCCGGTCCTCGCCCCATCCCCCGTCTCCCGCCCCGTCCAGCTTCCCCCGCAGGTGTCCTTGCGGGGCTAATAAAAAATTATTATATAATTTTATTATGGTTAAATTTTAGCAAATAATCAAGTACTAAAATATCAACACATCATCAAATTATTATTCATTGTAATTTTACAATTGAAACTTATAAAAACAATCAAACAAAAATTATTTGAATACAATCCAACATGATGAAATAAATATAACTAAAGTAGTCAAATTTGCACTTTTGGTACAAATACAATCACTAATTCATTATTGTGCTTGAGTTTTTTTTAAGAAAAAAAATGTTATTGTATTAAGTGTAATTAGGGATTTAGTATAAATGTATTAGTAAATTTAGTATAACCAATTAATAATTTGTATTAGTACACATATATAATTAATAATATCAATTATATTATATATACTAATAGACATCATATAATACATATAACTAATAATATCATTATCATAAGTTTGTAACCAATTAAATTATATATTATATATATAATTATATACCTATATATATTTTATATATTTAATTTTTTAAAGCCGGTGGCCCCGCCCCATTAGCCCCCGCGGTCACCCGCTCCCATTGCTATCCCTAAGTGTAACACCTAAAATTGGAATATGATGGAATATCCAACAGCTTATTTCCTTTGTTTATGAACGTCAAGAAGTATATAGAGGCGCATGCTTTAAAATATAAGTGCTTGCTTATTCACGAAAAAACAGAATAGATAATCTTCTAGTAGCTTTTCATACAACAAAGGGCAAAAGCCAGGCTTTAAGAGATCTTTAATGGTACATTCGTTTCAAAGGAATTAAAAACTAATGACATTCAGCTTGAATTATCAGGATTTTCCAATTGAACTTGTTAAAGTTCCTTATGTACTGGCTATAACGTCCACTTTTCTTATTATCTCACACTTAATAAATCAGGATGCCATTAAAAAAGATTTAAAAGAGAAAGTCAGGATCCCATTAACAAATTTTACAGAAGGGTCCCTTTTAAAAAAAATTTTGAACAAAAAAAATAAATTTATATTAAATAAAATAAATATTGAGACTCCCATCACCAAGTCGTTGTAGTATAGTGGTGAGTATCCCCGCCTGTCACGCGGGAGACCCGGGTTCGATCCCCGGCAACGGCGTTTTCTCTCTTTCGTTAGTTTTATTTTTATAACATCTTTTTCCTATTTGTTTTTTTTGAATCGGACCCACTAAAATTCCCGTCCGTGCATATTTATATCTCGTGAATTTTCGTTCCCGCCATCTTCATTTTCAGCTGCGTCTCTTCCCCCGGTCTCCCACCCTTCCTCTTTCTATCTCTCACAGTACACACACTGAGTACAGTGAAGTAGAAGTAGAATAGAATAGACGACGATCAATTACGCCGTCAACAATGTCGGAAGCCGGAGAGGAGAAATCGGACGGTCTGGAGATCATATCAATCGGCAAGCTTTATAGTGGTTCTTGGGAAAAGAAATACTGGAGCTGCTCTAGGGTTCGATATTCCATTTTTTACTATTGTATATTTCCGCTCGACGTTTTTCAGTTTGATATTATGCTCAGCTGGTTTTCTGCGTGTTGCGATATGCTTGATCTATAGTTAGAATTAATGTGAATTTTCTTTTTTGGTTGTTAATTTTGAAAATTGATGATATAGATTGGTCGAAAGTGGATGACTTTGCATAATTACGGTATAATTGAAGTAATTAGCAACTCCATTTGTTTGTTTTGACTATTTGTTTGTTTAGTTTTCATGTAATGTAATGGAATTATGTGAGGCGAAAATATATATTTTATTTTTCTTTTCTTTCCTTTTATTCAACATAAGAACAGATTATGCAAAGGATACATTTGTCATTCGAGCCTGGGTTAACTATCAGAATACTACAATTTAGTCAAGTTAGGGCTTTTCAGTATGAGAATTATGGTGATGAAATCGGAAAAATATACCGTTTTAGAGAACGGACACATGTAATGGAAGCGATGTAGAAAAGAAGCTAAGAGTTCAGAAAGTTCAGGTTACAATTGTGCATTTCATATAGTCACCACGCATGTTTAATTAAGTATTATGAAAGATAATTGGATGGTCTTGTTGAACCTGGGATTTTCGCGTCTTGTTTTCTTGCATTTTTTTGGTCAGGAGATGTGTTTGGCTGCTATTTGTGTTTATCAAAGGTTTGACCTACTTATAAAGTAGGAACTTTTTCGGATTAATTTTGGATGATTCACATGAATGTTATTTGTCAAACTTTTTTATAAGGATAAAAGGAGATGAATACAGCTAAAACCAAAATGTATTATCAGTGAAGAGCAGAACTTCTCATAAACCACACCTGCATACTAAAAATTGCTGAGTGTAGAATATAGGGAATAGAAAAGAGAAGGGGAGCAAGTCGGATTTACTAGTGATGAGTAGGTTCATATGAACGCTGTAAGATATGAACAATGAAACAATTGTACGAAGGAATACAAAAATGGATGGGAAAGATTAACCTGCTAAAAGTATACTTCAGCTTGGGAAGCACCACAATCGGCATAACTTGTCTTTCTTTACAGGGTAAAGATCGTTATCCTTATCCAGTTGGATTTAAAGCTGTTCGGACACAAAATGGGATCAAATACAGGATGGAAATTTGTGAAGGTGTCAAAGGGCCGCTATTTAAGGTGTGTTGATTTGCTAAACACTGCTGATCTAAGGCTACATTTCCCAGTCCATTCTGTAAAAGTTATTGTCATAACTACAATGGAACCACCCTTTGTTTGCAGATTGGTTCTACTGATGGACTGTCATGCTCTGGTCAAACTCCAGATATTGCATGGGAGAGTTTTCAGAAAAAAAGAAGCTCTCGTGTAAAGTTTTTGCATGGGAAGAGATTCTCATGCAAGATTGATGGCATGGAGGTGCTGTGTTTTTGTCTATCTTGTCCTATTTTTGCATTTACATTGCTTCACATGTACAATGTAGCATGTTGTTGGAATTAATCCTGTTGCAGTCTTGAGTATTATGAGCTTTTTAGTATCTCTTACACTTCCTGCAGAGTATTGTAGTAGTAGTACTTTACCAAGATCTAAGCTCATTCCTGATTTGGTGCCATTTTTCCCTGTATAATTGGCAGTTTTTTGGGTTCAAGAATGCATCCGTCCAAAGGTTACTGAGGGAATTAATGGCAAATGCTGGAGGCATTGTAGAACAAAATTTGCTTCCATCTGAATTTTGCTCTGAGGCTTCTGAGACAAGAATTCCAATTCAGCTAACTCATTTCAGTTTGGATCATGATATGCTATTGGGAAAACCACAGGTCACGGGGAAGAGAAGCAGGAAAGAGAAAATGATCAAAGCTACATCGCAGGGTGTGACAGATCTTAAAAGAGTTCGACCTCAAAATGGGGAACATGATGTTGTTGCTTCAAGTAATGGGCTGACGGGTCAAGAGGATTGTAGTGACAGGCTTCACTTGATAATTCCTACTTTGAAAGAACATCATCTGAGCAAGAGTGCAAGAGATTTCCAGAGATCAACAAACTTGGACCCCGTGATTGAGGAAGAACTTGTAGCTTCAGTACAAGATCATCGACTGTTGAATTCTTTTGATTTATCTGATGATCTGAAAGTTGATGGTCACATTCCACTTGAACAAAGCAAGCCTATTAGCTCTGGAATTTCTACAACCATTGGAGAAGAGGGCAACTTGCCTGAAGACAAAGAACGTGTAAGCAGATTCAGCTTATGTTACTAAAGGCCATCTTCATGCAATTGAAGTTTTGCTTGCACCATGGTCTTGAAGTTGTTGGTTTTTATTCACTTCATGTGGCTTTTGTACCTGTTAGATTAAAAACATCATTAAAATACGAATCATTTCAAGTTTTGCTATTCCATAACTTTTTGTGAACTCAGATGTCCTGGAATTGGTTTGTCAGTCAGCTTACCTGGTGTTATACTTACAATGTCCCAGCTTGACAGATCAAAAGTTTCAGCTGGACTCCAGTTTAATTGCTCCATAGGAGAAGATGAAGAAAGGGAGAGAATATGTCCTAAAACAATCCATGATGCTGAACTTTGTGTGCCTAATACTTTAGATCACCCGCCAGGTACCATTAACTAATTATCCATTGTTACTAACAAGAATTTGATTGCTGAGACATCATTCAATATCTGCCACTTATTTGTGGATGGTTATGGTTGTTTCCTCAGATGATTTGTCTAATTCTTTTGCCCATCAAGTTAAAAAAGAAGTACCGACAAAATATTCCCCCAAGTTGGACAATGCACTTGCCACTGACAAGGCCATTCTTGAGGATTTAGCAACAGAGTCTGAGTCACTTCGAGAAGATGAGATTAGCACATCTAACTCAAATGCCAGTTCCGGGAAAGGTGATTTAGATTCAGTTGGTCAGGATATTGCCAAATCAATGATGACAGTCCTGCTTCCTCGAGCCCTTCCTCTGCTCAACACATTTTCAAGAAAGAAAAAGAAGAATCTTAAGCCTTCAGAAATGTCTGCCATTGTAACCACGTCTGAAAATGAAAAGATTGACAGAATAGCAATTCCTGGTAAAGCATCGATGTATAACTCCCTTGAATGTTACAGTTTAGCTGATCTAGTGTTGCTAGTTATGCCTCAGTTGTCCTTGTACCTTTGCTACTCTATGTAAAGGTGCTGTAACAACATTTTCTTCTTCTGTGACCCCTTTTTTCTTGTTTTTTCTCTATGTCAAACTTGCAGTCAGAGAGCTTCCAGAAACTGCAGAATTGGACCAGAATAAGGAGGACCAAATTTCTTCTAGGAATCTAGAATATGATGGTCGTATAAAATCTGTTGTTCCTGATAGCTTTGATGACAGTGGAAGTGGAGATCTTCTGATAGATAATCTGCGCCTTCTTGAGACTGCAGATAGGAAAACAAGTCCTCACTGCAACAGAGAAATGGCTTTGAATCATGGGATTGATATCTGCAATGACTCAACATCTAAAGCTTCCTTAGGATCCACATTTCCCAGTAAAAATGATGCCTTCACAAGCTTCAGTGAGAAGTCTTTGTGTATTCAAAAACAGACTATGAAGGACGACACCAAGACTTGTCCTGATTATAGTGAAGGTACTAATAAAAGATTGCCTGCAGAGAATCTCCTTTTTTATCACTGTTTATGGTACACTTGTTTCAACATACACAAGTGAAATATGACACTAATTTAGTGCGTCCAAAGAAAAATGTTCACGTTCACTAAAGAAATCAATATCACGAGCAAGGCAGCTTGTCCTTAACTGAAACTTCATTTGAGCTGCTGAATCAAAAGTGTACCCTATTTCTTTGTTAAAATTGGATGTAAACGATGCTAGTGGTGTTTATGATGTAGAACAATGTCTGATTGTAATATTGGTCTCCTGCCTAAAAGTTCTTGCAGTTGACACCCAAAGCCCTAAAAATTTGATCATTGGTACTGGAACTAGGGTTGAGAAAGAAGAACCTAGATCTATGACTGTTAAAAGGCTTTGTAACTGCTGATGGAGAACCTTTTACGATGAATTATCGGACAAGAAATCCTTGTTTCTGACTTCAGATGATATTTTTGTGTTTCAGACATTCTTGATTTAACTACGTCATTTTTAGACCAAGAACTTGCTGATCTTGATATTCCCACATCGAATTCGCTGATCCAGAGGGTGAATTCTGATAATGTGGCACAAAAGCATGAAGCCAAAGATTGTTCAAAAATGAATAATAATGCAACTTCCCTCCTTAATGCCAAGCTGGAAGAGGTTCTCAAGCTTGTTGGCTGCTATATCCACCCCATGCCAGTTTTATCTGTGCTATTGAGAATGGTAGGGAAGGAAATCTATATATGTGCACTTTGTGGCTCCCTTGCACAAGAGGACAAGATTCTCTTTGTCTACAGTACTCCAGTTACTGGAGAAAAGACAGGATCCCCTTCTTTTGTTGGTCATGCATCAGTTATCTTGGATGATGCCTTTGGGAGAAATGTAAGATAAACTTTCCTATAACTCTTTCTTTCTTTTACTGCAGTAGTGCTGGAGTTGCTAGCTGTACATTATAGACATGCTTTCTTTCAGCAGATTGCTGTGGATAATTTTGGTTTGCATTTCACTCCAGATGGACAATCTCTTGTTCTACTGAATAGCATAAAAGTGCCCTGCTGCAGGTTTCTACTTTATTTTTCCTGCATATATACTTACCCATGGTTATGAAATTCTTGTAGTTCTAAAATGTAGATTTTGTGCTCTCAGGGAGGGTAACATTCATTGTCCTTGCCAGTTATGTACTTCAGATTGTTTTGAAAAGAATGCAGTAAAAATTGTGCATATAAGAGTTGGCTATGTCTCAGTGATCAACAAACTTAAAACTGCTCAAACTGTATGCTGTATACTAGTTTGTGAGCCTAATCATCTTGTTGCTGCTGAAGAGAGTGGGAAGCTCTGCCTTTGGGTCATGGACTCAACATGGAGGTAAATTCTTCGAAAGGGTTACTTTTCCTTTCTTCTTCTTGTCTATATGTTCCTTATTCATTAAGGCATCATGGCTAGTTAAACATTGATATTCTCCTCGATTGACGTCTTAGTGTATTAATGGGCAAAAACATCTTCCTTATACTGCCTGGTTAAAAGATTACTGATGAAGTGCTGCATTATGTGGTTTTATTCCCTTATTGGATTGTCTATGGATTAGGAAGAACTGAATACTGTGTACTAGCAAGTTCATGGCATAGTTTGAATGGTGGCTAAGTGAATAAATTGCTTCAACTCCATAATAGTTGAACTTCACACATGATTAATTATTTGGTGAATGAGAAGTTTCTGGTTAACGAATATTAGTAACTGCCAAAATGTTCCGACAATCATGAGTGGTATTGTAACTTTCTTTGCTACATTACTTGTTCAGTGGCTCACATCTTACGGCTGCCAAGGTTTTGTGTTTCTACTCTAATATTGTTTGGGATAATTGCATGCTCCAGCAGTGTCTGGAGCATCACTAAATCTGGTTCTTTATTTGCAGTTCACAGTTGGAGGAATGTCATTTACCTGTGGCAGATAACTGGCCGCCTTCTCCTGTTGAACTGAAGAAACTTCCAAAATCTGCTTCTTTAATTATTGGTCATAACGGATTTGGCGAGTTTGGCATATGGTATGCTAGCTTTGATCACAAATGCAATCAAGTGTGCTTACTTTTACATGTTTTTATAGTAATCTGTTACCATGTATATTTGTCCTTGGTCTCAAAAATGACAAGCCATGCTAAGAGAGTTCTATGTTGGATGAACTTCTCATTCTGTTTCACCAAACAATTCATGGAACTGCAAAAACTTTATCATCTAGGTTAGTTCTGCTGACCTTTGTGAAGTTTACTGGTTCTATCTCAATGTCCCTTTTATATTTTGGTTGATGCAATAAACATGGTAATTAACCAGCTCTACGTTGTCATTGATTTAATTTTACCTAATGAATGGTAAATAATATTGCGAAACAAAATTTTTGGTTCTTGTTTGATCCAGTTCTGTGTCATTACTAACTGCGTTCAGAATAAAGTTGGCTAGGCTGCTGAATGCTAAAACAAGCCTAAAAGATATAGCCACATTGATAAGAATGTTCATAGTTTCTCCTTATTGATACTCTAATTAGACTTCCACTTTTGCAGGGACATTAAAAAACAGATTCTCGTATCGAAGTTTTCTGGTCCGAGCACTACAATCTCTAAATGCATTCCAATTAGCTTCTTTCAGTGGCAAAGAAAAGGCAATGTTCCCCCTTACTACAACCAGGAAGAGCTTATCAACGAGGTTCTAAATGCAACAGAAATGTGGTTCTCTGGAGAAGATAGCGAACTGGTCCGACCAATAGAGGCTGAAGATCTGGCCATCTGGCTTCTTATCTCAACTGTGTCATATCTTGACTTCCAACCTAGCTATAAATCAGGTGATTGGCAGATGGACTCAGTTGGATCTTGGAAGCTTGCTCTCCTGGTTAAAAACACAGTGGTGATGGGAAGTGCATTGGATCTTAGGTACTACCCAAATTAGATGAATACTATTAGAGAGACATATTATAGTACTATTCTGTGTTAGTGCTACTTGTTTGTTTTGCAAATAGTGGATAAAGGATTTAAAGTTCCCCATTTCTTATGGTGTTGACTTTCCTGTAGGATCAAAATACTTGTAGCACATTACACTGAGTTCCTCGGATTTTAAAGAATATCCATTCTGGAATGCCTAATGAAGGAATCAATTTCAGAGTCAATATATGCCTCATGCCAACCTTTTTCTGGTATTTCGTGGAAACAGCAATTTAATAGTCAACTTCTTGACCTAAAGTTCACACGTTTCCTTAATTATTACAGCCTTGCAATTTGATCAAAGACTGCAATGGTTTATTTGATGAAGCCATGAAAGTGTTTTTAAGTTGGATTATGTTCAGGATAGTATAGTCATTTTCCTAGTTTGGGCTCCACTATTTGACCAGCCAAAGGGCAAGCAAACTTACTGAGGGTGAAAGGTACAAGATAGTGTCCGTAATAAGCAGCTCTGCAGAGTTGACGTTTGAACTTTCTAAAGTGCAACATGCAAACCATAAGCTTGATTCGTGCCGTCATACTAGTAATGATGCATCCATGTGAGCTCCAGGATATATGAACTTGGACTTCTAATCCTTCTTCTGATCCACATTGTGCTTTATTTTTTGAGCAGTTCATATTTTGTTTGCTTTTGCTTTAGAGGTTAAATAACAGAAGTCCTTCCTGCAGGGGTGTTGCAGCTGGTGCATCACTTGGTCATGGAATTATTGGTAGATCTGATGGGCTAGTTTACATGTGGGAACTTTCTACAGGAATTAAAGTTGGTAATCTACATCAGTTCAAAGGTAATCTCACATTGTGAGTAACAAATATTTCTCAAAATTGGCAGACTTTTTGTCTAATGCCTGCCATCTTTTCTTGCTATCCGTTTCAACTCGTGTTTTTATGTGTTTGTTTGACAAAGAACTTTGCTAATTCTTCATTTAGGTTACTATTCCTAGTTTGATTATGCACTAAATGTTCTAAATTCTTCATTTAGGTAGCGGAGTGTCATGTATAGCAACTGATATGTCAAAACCTGGAGCTTTGGCTGTTGCAAGCGATGGAGGTGAATTGCTAATATATGCGTACCTGTGAAGGGCTTCTGCCGATTGGCGCATGCTGCTGTAAAATGAAGAGCCAGTCATTAACCTTTCCTGCTCCAGATTTAATCTTTATCATCTTAGAAACAAAATCAATCAGAAATTATGATGTCTGAAGCCTGAACTCAGTCTAGAAGTATACATGAAATAAGTGTAGCAAATTTGGAAGTTCAGACTTTTTCTTCTTATCCTCCAATGTCCCGCCATGTTTCCCATTGATGATTTGCTCTCTCTTTTGTTCTTGTTTCTTGTTATAATACGAACAGGTTATTCATAGAGTCACGATGAAGGTAAGTCAGACCCGGTGGTAGCTTTTTCACGGAAAAAGACCAGATCGTATGATTTATGATCTAGCAATAAAATCTGGTGGCATTTACCAACTGTTTACGGAAAGGTGAGTCAAGCAGACTTAAAAAGCACCTTGTCGATGTTTATAGTCCACTGTAACAAATTAATAATATAGAAAAGAAGCGCCAGGTTTGACACATTTGGAATTTTTTAATTTGGAAGAGCAAATTAGATCAAATGTTTTCATTAGCGAAAGAATGAACATGATCGAAGAAGCCGTTATAAATGTCACTTCAAATATGCAAATCGTTTTCCTAATCAACCGAATTCACTGCAGCCTCGACTGACGATTCATTCTATGGAAAGAAAACAAAGGCCGGTTGGTTAACGTGATAAATAACCTCTGAAACCTTAATTTGAATATTACTGCTAATATAAATAATAAGGTTACATAATGAATTACGGAAAGAAAGCGAGGGCAATAAATAAAGTATACCATTCCGCAATGTTGAATACAATCTCAACGAAATTGAAACTCCAAACTATCAAAGGAGGGAAAGGAACTAAATGGGGGCCAACTCATCGTTAAAAGTCAACTAAAAGAGAGAAGGCCACAAAAATATTAAAGTAACTAGGTCGGCTAAATGGAAATTATTTAGCTTTGACATTGGATGTCTTGGCTGGAGCTTCGCCTGAAGGGTTGAGCTCATCCCAGGCTTCAATCCATGTCACCATGGCATCTGCTAACTTGGTGAAGTAGGGGTCGACATTGGCAAGCTTAGCCTTGACCTGCTTGGCAAGTTCAGTGTAGCACTGCTGGACAGTTGTGCATTCCTTGGGCAGGGAGACAGCCTGGAAAAAGGGGATTATCTCTTCCTGCCAGTAGATACCCTTGTACTCTTTCTTCAGATTAACAAAAGGATTGCTTGCCTTGCTGTGCCATATGTAGGGCAGACCAGTCTTGATCCCCAGACCCAGATGGTCACATATAACCTGCAATTTGACAATGCATTATTACGGTCATGCTTTTATTAAGAATGTCAAAGATAATTTCACTAGCAATCACAAGGCAATTACATTTTTTTTTAAAAAAAAAAAAATTTGTCCAAATATTATGACTTTGAGGGTGCTGATTTATTGAAGTTACTGTGTTCAAGCAAAAGCAAAAACTAGGATCACGAGAGATATCTATCAGAATACAGTTCATTCTATTCTCCCCGCTTAATATTGTAGTGCACATTAAGTTTCGTGGTGGTTTAAGATGTCCAAAAGGAAACAACATAGTTAAAATGTGCCCAGGAAGCATATACCCACAGATGCATGCCAGTCCAAGCTATAGGACTCAGAAAGCAAGTGGTTAAACAAAGAAGATGATGCTTCCTCTGAGCATTAAAGGTGTCATTGGATAATAATTTAGTTCTAATCCCTAAATGTACCAACAGGATGTGCGACATCTGATCAAAACTGAACGAAACATCTCCTGACCAGCTTTCCAAAATTATATAGGCTCTTGACATCAAAATGTCAACTCGGATGGCGTGTTATAATAGAAGAAAGGAAAAAAAAAATGATCCTCAAAATAAATTAAGGTACAGGGCTCCTTTGTACCTTAGTACACCAGCCAGCCCACATATCATCGTAGCGACCAATGGGTTGGCCATCACCCATGAGCCCAAAGTACATTGCAGGTCCAATCAGCTCACGATTGAATGCCAAATTCATACCACACATGGGGAATAAAGTACCCTTCGGAATTGTCATGACTGCATCCACATATCTGCAAAGGTGAACGCGCATTAGGCGTGAAACAAGAAGCTTGGATGCAACCTTTTCATGAGCCACATAAATGATTCACATACCTGGTATTCCTCTCACGTGGCTTAACAAGCTGTGTGGGTGCATCATAATCAGGAATATTAAGCCAAAGGCCATGAGAAACAGCTGTTGGAACACCCTCACGAAGACTGAAAGGGTAGCCACGCACAAAGTCTGTGCCATCTCTGTATGGATCATAAAGAGTATTGAAAAAATATGGAGTAGCAGGACTCAAAATATTTTTTATGTGCTGCTCAAGGGCATTGATATCCTTGCCAGATGGGTCTTTAGCAACCTGTTCATTGTGATGGAAGAAGGTTTTAGAAAATTACAATGATGGGCATGCTTCAACAACTGTAAATGCTGAAAAGGTAAATGATCGGCCAACACAACTTGAAACTATGCATTTCACTTTCAAGATATGATATCCGAAACAATGATGACATTGTGTAACATTCTCCATTCAAAAAACAGGAAAACAACAGCAAAAAGCAAAACTCGAATTAATAGATGCAACTGACAAGAACTTCAAAAATTAAACATGGTAGGAAGGAAAACTGACAAACTGCTATTCTCATAATATGACATTTTGCATTCCAACTTGAAAGGAGCCTTTTTAAAGCGACTATGACAAGGCCATTGAAAAGGAGTTTCATCATTGCATAATGGGACCATATGATAGCAAATCACAGATTAGATCTCTGGGCCTTTGTTATTCGCTCACCCAACCGTCAAAAGCTGCTCAAAATAATTATCTGGTGGTTATACTCTTCTTTAGGAATCTAAGTAGCAAAATTACAATTAGAAAATATCCAAGTCCTTTATTAGATCTGGCGGACAAAATATCCATATAGTAGATCCATAAAAAACTGTTCCCTTTTTAGCAATAAATATCGGCAAAAACCATTCTCCCGCAGGAAGATAGCATCAAGCAGATCGATCGTAAATTTATATTTGTAATCAGGAAACAACAGAATCTCTGAACTTCTTTCTAACTTGCAGGGAGAAGCAACATTTTCAATTGCAGGATCCTTTCGTACACAAGTCACGCGGATCAGCGAAGATGACAGAAAATAAAACACCACGGACACACACAGAAACTTACATTTTAATTTGCCTAAAAATTGACTTGCAAGCACGGAAAATTCAAATTTGCAACAAAAACAACACGAAAACCTATCAATGAGCAAGATCATAGCAAATTTGTCATAAAAATTCAAACTTGAATTTTGTTGACAAACCAAACTGAATATACAGCATACAAAATCTCAATTGTCCACGATCCAAAAACAGAAAATTAAATTAAAAAAAAGTATAGAAAAAGGCTATTCCACCCATCTAAATCCTGAAAATTCAGCGGGATTTTAAATCAATAAAGAAAAAAAATTGACGCCTCAAAACAAATCAAGCTCCGATCTTTACACCGCAACAACAAAAGGGCACTTGTAAAAATCATCAAAAATACAGAAAAAAGGTACAAAAAGAAAATTGACTTACGAAGCAATCATCATCAATTGTATAGATGTACTTCTTCTTAGACACCATGTACCCAAAGCACCTACAAGCAGAGTCCTTAAAGGAGATGCAAGAGGCCTTAGGACCCAGAATTCTGTTGATATCATTCCTATTATAGAGCTCATAATCAAAGCCTTCTGGGACCTTGATGGTTTTTGAAGGGTCTCCATCTTGAACGATGATAAGATGGTATGGCTGAAAAAATGGCCTCCACATCTCCAAGAAATCCAAATTCCGGATTGTTGGGATGACTATATCAAGCTCATCTTTCAGCAATGGAGTTGGGCTGACTCCTGCCATTGTTGGTAGCTCTAAACTCTATCGACGCTGGGGGAAAGAATAGAATTAGAACTTCGACCTTGAAGGCAGGGATTTTGGAGCGTTTCAGGTCTAGGTGAGAAAAATAAGGGTCTTGGTCTCTTTTATAGACTGTTAATAAAACGTTAGGGAAAAAATTGATTGATTTATGACGAGAATGGGAATAGGAATAGTAGTGGTCATTGGTCAGAATTAGATTGTGTCGCGTCTTGATTGGGTGTTTCAAGGAGGGTTGGGCAGAAACGGTCAGTACTAGTTCTTTTATTTTCATTTTTTATTTTTAAAAGCTGAATAGAGAAATTATTTGTTGAAAAATAGTTTTGTCAAAAAACATTAATGATGTGTTTGGATTGCAAAAAAAAATTCCTACGTTTTCCGTAGATATATCATCCAATCACATTTTTATCTTAAATATATCAAATTATTATAATAATTTTTCTACAAAAAAATCCAAACAAAATCTAAGGTTGTCTTGTATCATTTTCTTTTTCGAATAGAAATTCAGAAAAATTTATTTTTATTTTTGGTGTCTATTTTTCTTTATTGGCAAATAATTACAGCGTAAAAAGCGAAGTCCAAAGCGCCATTGGTTGTAGGGTCAGGTATTACTATATAATTGTTTTAGATAGCTTATTTAGTTTTCCTTAGCAAATTACTACTGTTATTAGTCATTTTCTGGTCAGGGTTATATCCGCTGATTTCGGCGCATCTCTAAGTACGTGCAAGTTTCAGTCGGTGGTATACAATAATAAATACTATTAGCCTTGTTTGGACAGCCTTTTTTCGCTGAAAAATTGCTTCGTTTTTCGTGATCATATTTCTCTATTACATTTTTTTTCTTATATACATCAAATCGCTACAGTAATTTTTTTACAAAAAAATTCTAGAAAATGCAATCCAAACACAACCTTATAAGTTAAGGTACCATCTGTTTTGACAAAGCATTCTACTATTAATCCAAACATTATATGCTTCTAGAATTCTTTTGTGATGCATGTTATTTCCTGTATCCGTGTCCACTGTAAATTTGTTTGGGGGTCCAATTGTTAACAGCTTAGTCATTTATAGACAATTTAATTTGTTATGACATCTAGGAATTAATTAGTAATTAAGTTGAACATTTTTCCGGGCTTAATTTCTCAAAATTCAATTGTAGGCAGGTATTAGTTCTGGCCAGACTAGCTAACATGGAGCAAATAACATATGGTAAAACAAAAGTGTACAACCAAAAAAATAAATAAAGAGTACAGCCTACACTTTAAGTGCTTTATAAATGCTT